ATTATGGTTGTAGCACGAATGGGTCGGCTCGACCGGCGAAGGACCACGCTCTCACAGAATACTAGGCGTGAAATAGCAACTCAATGCTAGTGTTTCATATGGTGAATGTAGAGAACCGGAGACTCTTTTTACTGGAAACGAGGCATTCCATCTTAGCCCTCAAGGGTGGGGTAACAACGTATCTGCATTTTGACTTGTAATGAAATATAAATGTAGATGCCACCTTTATTCTGTGAACAAGCCGTTTCCGAGAAACCAATTACACACTATAGATATAAATCCAAATATATAAAATTGCGCGCATAAGGTAGCTACATAGTTTTAATATAATAGCAATGATACTTGTACTTCTGGTGTTAAATATATTTTACATCAGTCATACAAAGAGCACGTTATCTTGGTATTATCTATTGCTATCTATCCCTTTTCAGGGTATTCCTCCAATTTGCGTCTTATTATATTGGAGGCCATGTATCTTGTGTGCTCCACTGTCCAGGATCTGCTTTTGTACTCCATATTGTCCAAATTTGATGGCTTAGGTATATACATTGCAAATAAGGAACACATATTTATAATTTATTTATAAACATTACATATATTGTACTTAACAGTTTAAATTATACATAGACTATGTTATCGTTAAAATGTTTTTATTAACTGTTGTGGCGGGACGACGTATTCATTAAGAGAACTTATTGCATCATTTGTCCCTCGCGTGTCGTAAATAAAAAGCCAGATACTTAATCAAACAAGTAGGCATAAAATTCGGGTATATTTTTTTGTAAATTATAAAATATTGTTTGAAATTAAATAGACGTGTACTTGCTACTGGTCTTCTTTCAGATCTAAGAAAGTTTTAGAACGGAGAGAGAGAGAAATCCCTCGCGATGCGTAAAATTCAAAATGAAGATGCATTGTCACCCCTGAGGGCTAAGATTGAATGCCTCGTTTCCAGTGATTAGGGTCTTCGGTTCTCTACACTCACCATACAAATCAGCAGAATTAAAATTTCACGCTGGTATTCCGTAAGAGCGTGGCTCTATCACGTAAGAAAAAAGTTGATCATATCATACAAAAGGTTCGCTCTTATTTTAGGTTTGTGATAGTAATAAAATGAATAAATCATTGTTTACACATTTCATTAATTAATTGCAGCCTCAAGTCCAACTGCTAAAATAGGCCTCCTTCCCTCTAAGTTTGCTCCCTAATATAAAGTGTATATAATGTTTACACAATATTATAAAGTAAAAATTTTTGGAATTGTATTATTGTAATATAAATAATCAACAGAAACGGAAAATTGCGTGTGGCTGTCACGACCTTAGAATAAGGTGACAAACAAGCACACAGTCCACCTGATGGTAAGTGGATGCTGTTGACCCTTGAACTTCGATTTAGAATCAAAATGTAGATGCGTTGTCACCTTTTAGGACTAAGATGGAATGCCAGGTTTCCAATAAAAAGGGTCTCCGGTTCTCTATATTCATCATACGAAACACAGCAGCATTAATTAAGCTGCTATTTTACGCTGGCGTTTGTGAGAGCGTGGTCCTGCCCTGATCGAGCCGACCCATTCTTGCTACAACCATAATATAGATGCAGCTTGACTTTATCGCGTATAACGTAATGTTACACTGATTACGTGTGAAGCACCCTAGGTCACTAGGTCCTCAAATACACTTAAATACATCAAGGTGTGACAATCGGCGCCAATATACAGCGCGCAAAATGTCGCTGCTTATGTGTGCGTTGCTAACATTCAGTCAAAGAATACATACGGCAAAATTGGCCGAAGTTCGGCCGAGGCCGAAAGTTTCTAGTAAGTGCCGGAATTAAAAGGGCGCGATTAGGAATGTCAGATCGGCAGAACAAATTATCTGGGCAAAATTTGAAAGTGTCGGAATTTCGGGGTTGTTGTCGGGAGAAATAAATAAGTTCAACAATCATTTATCTTTCTAACAATGTGCTTTTTATATCATTTATATGTATAATATGATTGCTAGATACGATTTTATTCGATAAAACGTTGGAATCTTAATTCTTAGGCGATAGTAGAACATACCTTGCGCTTTCGCTTAAGGCATGCAATATTAGAAATAAAAATGTAAAATAAAAAGTTTATTTTTTAAATTAATAGGCTACAGAAAGACTTAACATGACACATTGACACATAACTAATTTAAGTACACTAAATTTTTATGTTACTACAAGCATTGGACTTTACTGAGTCTACCCACCAATTTGGATCCTGATGTAGTATTCAGAAAATATTTTAAATTCAAACAATTTACTTCAAAGTTCAGTCTAATTACTAATTTTGCTATTATTGAATCAAAGGCAGCTGTGATGTGACGAGAAGTTGTTTGTCTGGAGATTTCGAGTTTTGTCGGGGGTCTGGAGATCATTTAAAATGTCGGGAGAATCAAGACGAGTCCCGACCATCTGACAACCCTTTAGATCAATTTCTAGAGATAATTAAAATTACTTTTTATATTATACATTCAGTATAAACCTACCTATAACTCAAAAGTTTTAAAATTATTTATATTTTTAATTTTAGTCAATCTTGAACTGAACTACTCAGGGTTTTTAAGCCTTCGGCTTCAGCTTTGCCCGAAGGTTATGGCGATAGCAGATTAATCGGCAAAATTGTAGGGCATAGGGTACGTCACACGGATTTAGGGTGACGTTTTTTTTTATAAGAGGGGGCAAACGAGCATGCTGCTCACCTGTAAGTGACTACCGGCGCCCATGTACAACTGCAACACCAGAGGAATTGCAGATGCGTTGCCGGCGTTTTTAAAAAGATATCAGACATCTTTTTTTGAAGGTCCCTAAGTGGTGTCGGTCTGGAAAAATCGCTGATAGGATTCCACAAGGAAGTTGTGCGAGGAAGAAAACATTACATTTTTTTTTACCTCCGTGGTGGCTGGCTACACGGACGCACGTGTGTGATAAGGCGGAAGATTAGATAGTAAGTTGAAAAGGTACAAGGTCGTTGGCCTCGGCACTTGCCTAGAGTTGCCATATTTTGGCTACCGTAAATTTTGAAAACAAATTAATGGTCCCAGTGTTGCATTGTGTAATGTAGTTTCTAATGGGGGTAATCTGGGCATCCACGACTTCCTGCCACCACGGCGGCGCCACTTAGAAATGAGGTGAAATATTTGACAGATTTCACAACGGCGGAAGTTAATTTCTTTCGTAAATGTAAGAGTTAATGTTTCTTTCAGAAATATTTTATATTTATTATATATACATATTTATATTTCTTACCTAATATAAATATTTTATATTAGATAAGAAATGGATAAACTAAATTACGGATATTCCTAAGAGTAAAAAAAAAAAACTGAGTAAAAAATAGTTCAAAAAATTAAAGAACAAACCACTGGTGAGCCATTGTTTTGTGTATTTAATTAATAATAACTTTTTATTTAAAACTTATTTTCTCAATTACAATAATGATCTTTGTATCTAATAACTTCACCTCACTCGTTAGCGACACCTAGCGACATCTGGTGAGCGTAAAATCATTGGTCGTCACCATACAATTTGTTGTAATAAATGGTGATAACTTCTATACATATCGGGACTGTTGGTCGCCCTATGTTTAACGATCCAATTAGGAAAATTAAAATAATGAATTACAATTTGAATGCTAATTTATTGTGTAACTACTATACGACGAAGGGAAACTTTGTGAGGTTTGTAGAGACGCAAAAATTTTATTATAGGTACAGAGTGCCCGCATTTAGTAATTGAGGCATATTTAGACTGGAACTAAAGAAGGAAATTTTTGCTCAAAAAATCCTCACGTTAGTTTAAATACGTTACATCAAAATCCATGAAGTTAAATTTTGTTTTTCGCTTCAAGTTTATCTCATGACGTTTTATCATCCGTATAATAAATAAATAAGTATTAATCAATACTGTGTAAATTAATTTTGATTATAAATATAGATGTAGTGTTTTAAGGTTGCTTAAACAACAAATAAATACCGCATGTAACTAGTACCCATTAAATACTTATTATAAGCCAGTGCTCCCTAGATGGTAAATCGTATCATCTTAGTGTATCAAAGGTCTATTCACTCTTGCCTTGAATACGCCCAGATTGTAATCGGACAGAAAGACAGACGTCCGCAAATTTTCAACTTCTTTGTTATACGCATTATGAAAGCCTAAATTTAGAGACTTAAATACATAATAAAAATCACACATTCAGTTTGAGCAAACTTTATGATCTTATTTTTCATCTATCCATTACAGTCTATAAAAGTTCACTACTGAACATAGGCCTCCTCATAGATTGCCTCTCATTCTTATTGCACACTAGCAACCCGCCCCGACTTCGCCTGGATAGGAACAAGTAATGTAGCGTTATTTAGATTTCAGATAATCTAAGACCATTTTTATTTTCAAAATTTTTCGTTTTCCCAAAAAAACTTAAGTTTTTTTGGATAAAAGATTACCTAGATACCTCCTAACATTGCTAGATATCTGTTCGTAAAGTTTCATCACAATCAGTTCATCCATTCCAAAGATTAGCCCGGACAGACAGACAGACAAAAAAATGGTTATTTATATTGTAGCCGGTGGAAGGAAAAGGGATCACCCACCGGGCAAGGTGGTCAGCCCGGGGAGCGGCCAACGCTCCGTGTGTTATTTCGGAGCTGTTTTGTATATATCGCGTTAATTTCAAAGCTTTGATAGCGTGGTTTAGGCTTCGGTGTGTTTCGCTTACGGCGCGAGTTTACATGCGCAGACACTTAATACACAAAATCGCACCACTTTGATATATCAAAATCCACTTCAAACCATTATTTAAACAATAATGCAGGAGCAGCAAACCGTTGCCGGTCAAGTTCCCGCCAAAAACTCCAAGTTTACATAAATTAAAGTTTTACCTTGGAGTTTGACAGATAGAACATTACCTAGCAAATGTCACGTGGCGCTTTCTAATAAGATAATAATTCAAAAGTATCTCTTGTCCACAGCATCAAAACTCTGTACGACAACGTGGACGTGGTGACGATCCGAGAGAACACAGAGGGCGAGTACTCCGGTATCGAGCACGAGATCGTAGACGGAGTGGTGCAGTCCATCAAGCTCATCACCGAGGAGGCCAGCAAGCGGGTCGCCGAGTTCGCCTTCCAATTCGCCAGGGACAACAAGCGGAAGAAGGTCACCGCCGTTCACAAGGCCAACATTATGTGAGTATACGACACCTTATCCATGTATAGGCGGTGTAAGAATATCCACTACCCGTTATCATCACGTGGGTGTCGTAAGAGGCGACAGGGTGAAACAAATCAGTAGACGGACAGCAGTGTCTTCCTAATAACGAATATAAATAAAAAACTGCGGTTGCCATTCCACTAGCCATGCGTGGCAACTATGCCAAATATCCCCCTATAAGCTAATCTATGAGGGAGGCCTATGTTCAGCAGTGGACCTTAATAGGCTGTAATGGTAACGAGTTCGAATCCTTTTCTCAGATCAGTTTACCAAACTGCTAAATTTCTTGCAATTCACGAAGTCGAGCGGGCTTTGCTCGTGGTTGAACGTATACGTGCACACTGCGATAGTATACGTGTCTCACGGAGCGATCAGTTGCGAGCCTGCGTTGCCAAGACGTGGTGTATAGAAGAATTTAAGCCCCGACTTCGGAAGCTGTTATGAGGAAACTATTTTATTACTTTTAGTTCTTTTGAAGTCTTATGATCAGTCATATGAGTGAGCCGGCAGTATTATAGCTCAATGAATTAACAATCGCTGGGTTGTTGTTGTGGTAGTTTTGTTTAGTTTTTTGAAGTCGGGTTTTACTTTTTATTAAATCTCGAATTTTTTACCCTTTTGAATATCGTCTTAATGTTTAGGTACATTAAGTCTATTTGCGCTACACTTATGGGTGAAATTTTTTCTCCAAATTTATATGGGACCACCCCGGAAGTGTAGGCTATTTAAAAAAAAAAGACTCCTCAGAATCTTTTGTAAAAAAAAAAAGAACACCTTCGAATTGTGAAACCCCCTCTTTTGAAAGTCTTGTAAAAATAATAACAACAATTTGCGCTAAAGAAAACTTAAGTAAGTATACGATTTCTGAACAGGTACATTTATAATAGATTCGGTATAAAAACTTTGTGCAAACATTTGCACCAAGCCGTGAATTGGACGTGAAAACCATTCTAATCGAACACTCGTCTAAATTGATGCTAATGAAACGTTGTCCCTCGTCGTTTCGAGTAATGAGATACGTACGAATCATTGCACCCGTTATCTATTACGTGATAGATAAAATGATAAAATTCTTAAAACATTATTTGGGCTTAATACTATATTACCTATACATATGTAACAGCCTACATTATGTCCCGTTTCTACTCAGGCCTGGTCGCCATTTTGAGACCCTTATTAAGCAATTTGTCTAAGGCGCGGCTCATGCAGGTTTCCTCAAGATGTTTTTCTTCGAGCACATAGTAAATCAACATTTGAAACTGCAATAGGTATACAATGTCGTTTGTGTCTTTGATTCGTCGCGGAAACTATACTCATGGGCAAATTTAGAGGAACGCAAAAAAAGTGTGTATAAAACAAAATACGGATGTTTGTGACAATTAAGTATATTAATTTGTATTTTGCTTATTATTCGTAATCGTCGAAAAACAAACGTTCAAATTTACAAAAGTTAACCAAAATAAAAATAAAAATTACAGGAAATAAACATTTTTGTACTTGTATTACATTTTTTTTTTCATAAATGCTTAGTAAAGGTTATAATGTTGCCTCATCTAGGTCTTCGAACTGCTTCTAGTCTCCTTGGTATGCTCCTAATTGAGTCGTAAATAAAATTTTGAGAGATGTGTTCCATTCTTCCTGTAATTCTTCTTTAAGCTTTTCTTTTTTAAATTAGCGGGGACAGGGTTTCTTTTCTTAATTTGTCTTCCAAGCTTATTCCATACATGTTCTATAGGGTTAATGGCGGGCGAGCGCGCTGGCCACAGCTCAGCATTGATTTCAACGTCTCGAAGGTTTTCGACAACTACGGCCGCAGTAAGGGTGCGTGAATTATCATGCATATATAAAAGGGGCAAATGGCACTACAATTTCTTCCAAAATCTTAGTTACATATCGTGCCACTGTTAGTGACCCATTCTCAATGAGGCTCCATACAAATCTTGCTCCATAAAAACCATAAAAACCTCCCCATACCTGACCCTCCACCATACGCCTCTTTCAAAATTATGTTGTGCTGAGCGTACCTCACTCCCGGACGTCTCCAGACTTTAATCCTTCAATAATCTGGGTTCAGACAAAATCCGGGCTCATCTCTGAATAGAACTTGACTCCAAGCTCCAAGCTTCGTCATTCTGACTTTCGTGATTGCGAGCAAAATAAACTCGAACTACTCGATGGCATGTGGCAAGAAGAGGAGGGGAGTCTGGCAGGCCAGTGTGAATTTATTCCGGCCGATTTCAGTGTTTTTCTTACAGTTTCTGTGCTTACTGTAACCCCTCGCACTTCTCAGAACTTCGTTCTTACCTAAGAAGTTAAAGTCCGATTTTTAGGCACGCTGGTAACGATGAACCGGTCATCTCTGGCCGTATGTTTTCCGTTTACGTCCCTGTTCTGTGAGTTTCGTGTACTGTCCGGTCTGCCGATACCTCTTGACAACTCTATGTACCAAAGATTTTGATACTCGTAATGTTTGGGCCACATATTTGTAGGTGTGCCCAGTTTCAATAAACGCAAACAAAAAGTGACAGTCCTAGCAACTTGAGTGTCATTCTCAGTTTATTTGCAGTAACAATCACTGGTATACCATGTTCAAATAATTATATATCCAAAATAAATTGACATTTTAACATTACAGGCGTATGTCAGACGGTCTGTTCTTGCGCTGTTGCCGCGACTTGGCCACCAAATACCCTGACATCAAGTTCGAGGAGCGCTACCTCGACACGGTCTGCCTCAATATGGTACAAGACCCGTCCAAGTTCGACGTTTTGGTGAGTGACACGTTTTTAATTAATTAATTTATCTATCTGTAGCTGTGTTCCGATGTGATGTGTATATAGAGTCAGTGTAATTACGGGCTGTCAAACATTCTATCTTAGTTCTCAGAGGTGATAACGCCTATATACAGGGTTATTTTTAAAAGAGTAGCCGAATTTTAAAATTAAGTTCCAATATATAAATAATGATATGAGGTCTCTTCAAAAAGTATCGCGAATTTTGTATTTTTTCAAAAAGTATTTATTTATTTATGAATATCTATTTTGTCTCCTTCAAAGTAATCCCACTCGGACGGATATAATGCACTTGTGCCAACGTTTTTTCCAATCCTCGAAGCACTTAAAACAATCATTTTTCGTGATCTTCTTCAGCTCCTCCTTAGATGCCGTCTTTATCTCCTCAATCGTGGCGTAGCGTCGTCCTTTCATGGGCCTTTTCAGTTTTGGGAACAGGAAAAAGTTACAGGGGGCCAGGTCTAGGGAATACGGTGGCTGTGGGACCATTACTGTGTTGTTTTTGGATAAAAAAAGGCTACAAGATAATTCGTCAAATGACAAGAGTGAACATTGGTAACGTTGACATTGCAGGTGATGCCGAACCTGTACGGAGACATCATGTCGGACATGTGCTCGGGGCTGGTGGGCGGCCTGGGCCTCACGCCTTCCGGCAACATCGGCAAGAACGGTGCACTCTTCGAGTCGGTAAGTAGCTACAACCGCCTCCCCCTTCTTTTTCATGGGACAATGCTTACCGTGTCCGCCCTGCGGGGCAGGGACTTCTTTCACCTCGGGCTAAGCAATGGGTAATTCCATCGGACTAAGAAGTCTATAAAAACGTTTGTTCACCTCCTGATCTCTCTCTCTGGTCGTGTCGGAACTTTCCCATCGGATTATGAATGTGTGAGAAAGGGAATAGAGAGTGCACCTGTGCTTGCGCACACACTCGTAGAAATCACATCGTCAAATTCCCACAGGGGTGAAACACCGCCGACATCTTGAGAGAAAAATCCAATAACTGATTTTGGCCCGTACCACCGTATCAGCAACGGCATTTACGGCCACTACCATTGCAACTGGCTGCCTAAGCCCCGCCATGACAAGATGGGAACCCGTACGGTGGGGCAGCAAAATTCCTCTCACCCATCAGACACCAACGCTTACGTTACAAACAAGCAGTTTATGATCTCCCAGCCCTTTGCAAACATATAATTTATAGGATTGTACAGTGGGAAGTGGAAAGTCAATTGTATTTCAAACATTAGTTTCGTTGGAAATTCAAAGATGCAAAAACTGCAGTGTCTTTTTACCTCGAGCGTTTTTCGCTCCCGTCCTGTCCTACACTATAATGCGTCCTAGTACGCCCACTTTTTACCCAACTGACCTAAATGAGAGTAATGTTTTAGGTGTATAAGTAGCGGCACGAAAATCTAGCTCTGACCGTTATTGCGCATAAGTCGCGCTAATTGGCTCGTGCTTATCGTTCGCACGCGTTGATTGGCTTTCCAGTCGCATTCGTGCAATTCAAATCGTGAGCGTTCCCACCACGTTTCCTTCAGCGCTAGAATTACGTGCCGCGACTTGTATTTGTTATGAACCAAGTGATTAATAGAGCATTATTCATAATGCCCGGGCAATATGAATAATGCTCAATAGTGTCCTGATTAATCACTTGCTGCATAACATATATATTTTCGTTTAAATACTGTGGAATCAATGATTAGTAATAATCTGTCGCCGTGTAGTGGCGGAGTAAGAATGAATTCACTACCCTCTCATTTCATAGGTGTAATAAGATCCGACACAGGGAAACGAAACGGGAGATGGTCAACAGCATCTTCCTGATAACAACTCAAAATAGTAATAATAAACTGCAATTATGGCAAACGCTATGACGCAATCCATGGAGGAAGCCTATGTTCAGCAGTTGGCTTTGATAAGATCTAAGGAACAAACAAACATACATTTTTAATAGCAGTAAGTTTGTCAAACAAGCACACAGTCCATCTCATGTTAAGTGTTAGTTAGCTTAGACATCTGCAACTATCCTCGATTGAGAATTAAAATGCAGATACGTTGTTACCTCTACTAAGATGAAACGCCTTATAACCAGTAAAAGGGGTCTCCGGTTCTTTTACTACCGCCTTCAAAAAGGAGACTGTACTCAATTCTACTTTATGTTATTTAACCCATAACTTTTTTCTGCGTGAACCTATTTCGACGATTCTTTTTTATTTGAAAGCTGATGCTTCTCATGTGGTTCCATATAAAGTTTGTCAAAGTCTAACCAGTAGTTTTTGAGTTATCTTATTTTTATTGAAGTCGGTTGTACAAAATTTTTAATTTTACCACATGTGTAGTAATTGCCTCCAAAGGTGGCATATTAGAAGCAGAAATAGGACATTTGACTTCAAGAGAGTCATCTCCAATAAGCTGATCGGGACTTACCCCTAAATAGTAATTATCGGAATCAATAAACAGTCCACATTTTGAACCTTTTAGATTATGTTTCCTAATCTTGATTCTTTATAATTTTTTTTGTTTAAGCTCTGACCAATAGTTTTTGAGTTATTCTTAATAATTTTTTGACCCTTTTTAGAGACCCTTTTTACTGAAAAAGAGGCATTCCATCTTAGTCCTCACGGGTGACAACGCATCTGCATTTTGATTCGCAAACGAGGATAGATGTAGATGTCTATGGGCCACAGCAACCACTTATTATCAGGTGGACTGTGTGCTCGTTTGTCACCCTATTCCTATGTAAAAAAAAATTATTGAAGTCGATTGTACAAAATTCTTAATTTTAAACTATTATACGCTGGTATACTGCATTCTCCCGTCGAGTAAAGACCCATTTATGCTGCAGTAATAATTCAGATACAGCATAGCTCTACCACATACATACTACAGCTTATCCCAGAGGCTATATGGAGAGGATATTTATCATAGTTGCCACGCGTGGAAGGCGGGTTTGAATCCGCAGTTTTATATTATTTTAGGTTGTTATCAGGAAGATGCTGCTGCCTATCTCCTGTTTAATTATCCTCTGTGGCCTCTTACAACACCCACGGGATGAGGGGGATATGGAGTAGTGGTTTCTCTTACGCTCCCACTACACGGCGAGTTAATTATTACTAATCATTGATTTCACAGTATTTACGCAAGTGCAAAAGCGTGCTACCACTTAATTTTCCGGTCTGAAATGAATGCAAGAAGCGTTGAACCATCTGAGATGTTAATGACATAATTATATATTTAAATCAACATGTTCACTTTTGAAACAGTACACTATTAGATGTGCACCATTTGTACATCAGTTTTATATCTAATATTAGAAGGGTAATGAGCTAATCATCCACAGGATAGTAAGTGCCACTGGGCACCTGCAACTTACTTCAAATAAGTAAGGATAATCTTTAATCGATTTCACAATTTCTGCTCTAGTTTTTCATTTATAGATTATATTTGTTTTTTTTTATTATTTTTTTTTTATTTAACGCGTATATCGAAGTGTTAAATTGTGAGAAATCAAGTGATCTTGAAGGATGAGTAAGTCCAGTATTTAGTTACTAAGTGTGCCACTAACAAAATTCCTTTCGAGGGAAATGTTCATTGTCCGTTGTGTTTTTGTTTTAAACAATTATTTCTATTAACACATATTGTACTTTACATCTAGAATGTTACATGTATGTTCATATCGATAATGAAGTACTAATTTCTTATCTACCATAAATAATTTTTCATGCTTTTTTTTTGAGTCGAAAGTTTTTATTTAATTTAAAGTTGTTTATATTTTTTACGAACTTCAAAATCTACATCGGTTCCCTAAAATAAGGCTTTAGAGAAATACCGACAAGAAGCTGGAATCTTTTTATTTTTTGAGACGTTATGTTACATGTTCATATAATATATATATTATCAGCAGCCACTTTGACAAACAATAGGTTGTAGAACCAGATAAAAAATATTTCGTCTTTCAGTATTTAAATTAACAATATAAAAATTCAATTGACACTTTTTCTCTCTATGCTATTCAATACAATTAATATCCTGGTTAACTACTCCAAGTAACCTTAAAGCGCTTATGTTAATGGATGTTAAGATTGGTTCACGAAATAAGTTGAATTTCGAATCCACGACTTTATTGTTAGCTGTTGTTACTGTTACTTAAAATGAATAGAGGCATTCAAAAAAAAACCTACCATAAAAGTTAGTTTCACCTCATTTATTGGTGTTTCATTATCGATATGCTATCAAAAGTTATCATATTTGTAAGTTATTCTGTTAATAAATGTGTCTGTTACTTCAACTTGTGACGTTTTCCCTGGAAGGTGTTGGACACGAGACATATATAACCGCATGGTTTCATTCACATTAAACGCACAATCCTCGCATCAGAGTGACGGAAGTGTAATCCGTGTGACAAAGAACATTTTAAGAACAGCCCATTCTAGGTGGACGCACACATATGCACCTAAAGCCATTTTGTTGGTTGCAAATGATACAAGATGTACATGTGTGCGTGAGTTCGTATTCTTACTATACCTTGAGCGTAGTTACGGCTAGGTTCCGTAATGTCTCCGTCTATCTTTTTTTTTAATTTGAGATAGTTATCAATGTAATGTTGACACGTCATTGTCAAGAGTGAACCGAGAGTACGAAAACTTTATACAAGCGTCCCACAATGCACGCACAGAAGCACAGGATGTACCTACAGTAGCAGCTGAGAAAATAACAGTTTTTTTTTTAAATTAGAATTAGTGTGACAAACGAGCACACAGTTCACCTGATGGTACGTGAATACTGTGGCCCATGGACATCCACATCTATCCACGATTAAGAATCATATAGCAGATGCCTTGTCACCCCTGAGGACTAAGATGGAATACCTCGTTTTCAATAAAAAGGGGTTTCCGGCACCACTCACAACACATGAAACACAGCAGCATTAAGCTGATATTCTGTGAGAGCATGTTCCTTATCCCGGTCGATCCTATTCATTCGTGCAACAGACGTAATTTAGCTGCAGCGTGGCTCTACCAAGTAAAATGTAGTAAACCAAACTGCAACTAATCAAAACCGCGCGGGCAGGACTAAATATCGCGTTATTTAATGATTTCTTATGTTTACGCGAACAGTGTTGGACATTCCAATGACATTGCTGAAGGTAGTTAACTATGACATTGGGACGTCGAACACCTCAGTTCTCCGTGACCATGGGTGCTGCAAAGTATAAATTCTGGAATATAAAACAAGTTAATAAACGCGATAAAATCTGTAAAAACTAAATTTACTTAAATCCTGTTAGAGGACCCATACACCTACAATAATATTGTGCTATGTTGATGATTGCACAATGTTATTGATGAACTCCGAAACCCACACGGTACAATTAAATTGAGACAATAAAATTGGCCAAGCATTTTCGTCAATACTTAATTCAGTGCAACATGTCTGATAAAGATTTGGCTGCAGCTATCGTGTGCAAAAACGAAAACGCCGAATCTGGACTAAGGGCTGGTTCTCGGGCTCTCGCTGAAGTTTGTTGTGCTATTTTCGCTGCAAAAATACATGCGTGCGTACGCGACCGCTCCGAATTGCAGACTAAAAAATATTGCGCAATATGGCATACACAAGACACAATAAATAAATATTGTGCAATAAAATTTAAAAGTCTTCAATCATTACGCAATCTTCAATACTACCCCCCTATATGTACAATAATATTGTGCAATCATCAACATTGCACAATATTATTGTAGGTGTATGGGTCCTCTTATTTTCTCTCTGTGCTAATGTGCTACTGTAGGTGAACCCCGCACTTGTGTGAGTGCGTTAAGAGACGCTCGTATGAAGCTTCTGTGGTCTCATTTACTCTTATTTTGCTGTGATTGTAATTATACATAACATGAGAATTTAAAAGAAGTGTATTAATTTTCTTAATATACCACTTTTTCCTTTTTATATTCTTACTTCATCCGCTTCTGAGCTGTTCAAAATTTTAAGTCTAGCTCATCGGGAAGTTAGTTTAAAATCAATAACTAAATTCGACCCGAACACACACGCGTACACAAGCGAGTTTATAAAAATGTGGTAAAAATGTAGCGCCTATTTAGTATTTACACTTAAGAGTTTTTATCTAGTAATTTGACTGTACGTTAATAAAAATACCTACTTTGGTAATTAGTGGCTGTTTTACAAAAGATTTCCATGACAAACTTTTGTACTAAGAATTTTACCAATCTCTCCCAATTTTTTTAAATTTATGAAAAAGTTTTTTTTTTACTAACTTACTTTTTTTGTGTTCATTGGTGTTATTTATTGTAACTAAAACGGTAATACTTTGAGTGAATCAGCCCTGTCGTGTTCCCTGTCCATTTTAACCCTTCATGATATAAATGTAAAACAATATTAACAGGTGTGGGTTTTAAATGTAACGCAGTCATATTTATGCATTTAAATGTTTCATAATATAAAATCCATATAGGGCTGGCCTGACCTTATTAACCAATTCTTAAAGGTGCACGGAACCGCGCCAGCTATCGCCGGTCAAGATAAGGCGAACCCTACCGCTTTGCTCCTGTCTTCGGTCATGATGCTGCGTCACATGCACTTGAACGACTTCGCGAACAGGATAGAGGGCGCCTGCTTCGCCGTTCTCAAGGAAGGACGTGTCCTGACCGAGGACTTGGGGGGGCACAGCAGTTGCACCGATTACACCAATGAGATCATTAAACATCTAGGCTAGACTCCGTTTGTGGGGTTGCTGTGAGGTTACTTGTTGTCGGGTCACAGAAAACAAATGTTATTCCACATTAGTTTAAATCTCGTCAGTTTATATTATCGGCCATCAGCAGAATGTATTTGATGCAATCTGTGGTACTTGTTTTTTTTTTGTTATCGATGTAGCATTTGTGCCTGCAATAAACCTATATTATATTTTTAATCTGTTTAAGATCAATAAATAAACGTCTTTTAAACTCACGAGGTAGGTGAACAAAAAAAGGGCTGTCGTGACCAATATTCTTACATATTATAAAATAATTACACTCCTTATGAACTCCCCAAGGTGACCAGTCAATTGTTATGAACTTATGAAATAGATAAATTCACCATCTGTTATGGACAGTACATACATATATGTAGGGCATTTCTATGAATTTATAAATTTGGATAATCTTTTAATTTTGAGTTTATTCCCACCAAAGAAGTATTATTACATTATGCATTTCTTATTTATTCTTTTCAATTTATAAAATGTCTATTTAAAAGGAGGTCAAACAATATTTGCCATAAAAACGATGTTGCTATTTGATATTAGAACAAAATGTGTATATGTTTTTTATTTATGTCGAGTTTAGATTATTGTCAACTACAATAATTGTATACATTTGAAACCAAGGTAATTTGTAAGGTAGTCTTTGGGCTAATTTGACCACTTGGAACCAGGTTGACTTAAAATATTTGCATAAAACAATAGCCGACAGCTAAAATTTTGTCACTAAAATTTCGAACATGTTACCCAAAATTAACTCAAGTGTCATAAGGATTAAATTAATATATTGTTTTATTATTATGTTATAACATGTATATTTATTGTTTATTACAAAACTATGTGGTTTATATAAAGAAAAAATGGAAGTATTATATCCACCGTCATTACAATACATTATATACAAAGGAACCAATAGAAAGCATTTTATACAAACTCAAGTTGTAATTCTGGCTCAGATTTATTAGTCATTCAACGAAACGTCTCAAACATAGCCTAAAAAGTTAAAAGTTGTCATAACTTATTGAAAAATACAGTATTTTATTTTTATTATTGTTACCATTTATTTAGCAAGTGATTTTAATTAACAAGGGAATTTAGTTAAGATAATTAACGATCTATGTATCTATTTTTTTTATAATATGTACTTTATTTCTTATATGATATACGGCATATAAAATGCAACATCTGATTGGATTATTTTGAATTTATTTTTATATTTGGCACTAAAAGTGTTTGTCGATTTAGTTCTAGTATTAAAATATATTTATTAAATGCGTTTGTGATGTTGGTTTAAGTTTGACAATAGATAATTAAACAAAATTTAATTTAGTAGATCATTTCGTTCCTTGTTTTGTGATGTATTTACAAATATGATGATAAATCATGGTCATTTAAAATGTTTTTAAGATACCGATTTTGACGGCTAGAGGCTAGATCTTTTGGCCATATTAAGTGTTTATTTATTTACCTAAATTGTGAAATGTTAATATATTTAATTTTAGAACGCAATTGTCAGATGTAATCTGATTAAAAGCTGAGCTTTAGAGATAGGATTCACCTTATTTATTAGTAAACAAATCAATAGTTCTGATTTAATAAAACATTCCTTAGTGCTGTTTAGTTCATACATATGAATTGCGAAATAAAAAAAATGAAACAGATTGATGTTATCATTTCATTTCACAGCGTTGCTTACCAAGATATTTAAAATTAGGTAAGTCAATTTGAATATTTTTGTATTTCATACAATATAGAGTGGGGGTAAAGGCATGCCCAACTTTTTCTGCCACCAAGGCGGCCCAACTTATGAGTGAAGTGAAATATTTGACAGATTTCATAGAGGGAAAATTAATTAATTATATTTTATTTAAAACGCAACTTTTTACTTACAGTGACGCTGCAAGAATTAACTTCTCCTCAGTTCCAACTAGTAACATCTGGTGAGCGGAAAAATATTAGCCCTCATTGAATACATGCACATATTTATTTTGTTTTTAATTTTCATGTCTAGTAGTACAAATTTCAATATTATGTATCATTAGTAATCCTTGTTGTATTAGCATTGCAGACTCGACCACCCCGTTGGGTCACGTGGCTGTCATAAAAGTCAAATATAGTCTGTACGCTTAGATACGGTCGCCTCTGTATCGCGTCGCCGCGGCGCCGCGGCACGTGCAGCATCTTGTCAAAGGTCACCACGTGCGACGTACACCCGCAGGAGAATTTGGCAATTTAAAACTAAGCGCCGCCGTAGTGAAAGGTTCTTTGCTACCTAACTAGAGTTTATTATTTATATTCGTATTTTACTACAATAACTAAAATAGTATTCTATTTTATTCTAAGAATAGAAAACATTTATTTAAAAAATAATAAAATAAAAGCAAAATAATAAGGTGTCCTCCGGGTGTACAGACAATATATTAATGAACAGACTATACGAATATTTCTTAACGCTTCAGTTTCCTCTGTATATACAGTGTTGGTGGAGATGGAGAAATAAACTTGTGAACTATAAAGTTGCAAGACTGTAATCAAATGTGGTGATTGACTAGCCAAACGTTTTTCTCATTCAATGACTACACTTACTTTCAATGACTTTTTTTTTGCATTAATTATCACTTGAATAATTACTAGAATGGATTTTAGTTTCCCTTGCAATTTTGAAGCTTTCGATTTGCGTTACTCGAGTCCCAACGAAGTCTGTATCATACATGTACAATTTTAATGGATGCTAACATTTTCATTTTCACCCTGTAGGTAGATAGATATGATTTTTACAAACCTCTTATTTTACTAATGAAGGGATGGGATGGCTATACAACGTCAGTATTAATGTTATAACATGTTATTTATCAGGTGCACGGTACAGCTCCTGACATCGCTGGAAAGGATATGGCGAACCCCACCGCACTACTGCTGTCCTCAATCATGATGCTCCGCCATATGCAACTCAACGAGCATGCGGACCGTGTCCAGAACGCCTGCTACGAAGTTCTGCGCGAGGGCAAAGCCCTAACCGGTGATCTCGGAGGCACTGCCAAGTGCAGCGAATACACAAATGCCATAATTTCAAAACTAAATTAAAATTTGAGAAATAAGGGAGTGAAACATCAAGTATATGTGACTGCGTCAGATCTAAAGTATTACCCTACATCGTTAAATCTCGAATTTAAGCAAAAGAAATTGTAGATAAAACTTAAGGATACCAATACCAAAGTATTATAAGTAGTTTAAATTGCAGCTTAGCTGAGTGTACATGTTTTTGTTTACATTTATTTAACTGTGAATATTAACAGTTATTATTTATATATACTTAGCACGCAAATATCAAAATGTCTTATAACATACATCCATTTCAAAATCTGGATGAAATATATTTATTAATGACAAACTTCTGTTATTTATTTAAAAAAAATATAATATTATAGTGCCTTTTATATCAGTTTTTTTTAACACCTTATTCGATCGTCTATCCATAAAAGTAGGAGTCACCCTACAGTGTTTACGTGGTAGAGCCACAGTCTTAACTACTACTAACAGTCAGTCATCGAAGGCGTTTAGACCAGGGGTCGGCAACCTTTTGAGTCGGAAGAGCCAAAAATTACAATTTACAAAATTTCAAAGTTTTTAAAGAGCCACAATTTTTTTTCTTGCCAACCATAAATAAAGTTTCTTGATAAAAAAAAATCTAACAGCCTTTCACAAGTCTACTGCTGAACATAGGCCTCCCCCAAGGAATGCCACAAAGCACGGTCCTGAGCCACCTGCATCCATCATCATCATCCATAGCTCGTTGAGCGACCTTGAACTTCTTCATACGGCCAGCAGTGAAGGACCACGTCTCAGATCCGTAAGTGATCACTGGCAACACGCACTGGTTGTACAATTTCGTTTTCAAGTTTTGAGGTATGTCCAACGAGATGATGTGTCGTAGTTTCCCGAACGCTTCCCAGCCGAGTTGAATCCGTCGATTGTCCTCTCGGTCGAAGTTAGACTTACCTAGTCGGACTATTTGTCCCAAGTAAACATACTCGTCAACAACTTCGAACTTAGTGCTCCCAACAACCACCGGCATAGGTGTGACATGGACGTTAAACATTTTTTCATTTTTGTTTTTTCCATGTTCATCTTAAGACCTGTCCGTTGGTAGACACTATTGAGGTCATTGAGCATAGTGCTTAGGTCCTCCAGTGATTCTGCTATAAGGACTATATCGTCGGCAAATCGAAGGTGAGTGATGTACTTGCCATTGATGTTAATACCGCATCCATCCCAGTCCAATAATCTGTCCGCTAGGGTTGTCCTTTTACGCAAATAAATTTAAAAACTGTACAACCGACTTCAATATAAATTATTAAGTATAACTCAAAAACTATTGGTCAGGCCTTGATAAATTTTATATAGGATCACATGAGAAGCACTAGCTTTCAAATAATAAAAAGAATCATCGAAATCGGTTCACCCAGTAAAAAGTTATGAGGTAACACATAAAAAAAGAACATACAGTCTCCTTTTTGAAGTTTGTAGAAAATGGTTACACTACATGTGCGGTAAAAAAAACAGTGGGTCGTCCTCATTTAAAGATAAGGATTTAGTTTCATCAGATCCCACATACACATTAATTAGTTTAAACGTGGAATAAAATAAAATCAGTTTTTTTTATTAATTCCCGTTCCGAGCAATTTATTATTTATGTCGGCTTTTCCGACAACATCAAACGCGATGACTGACTGTATGTTCTTCTTAGGCTGTGGTAGAGCTGTGCTGCAGCTTTAGTGCTTGTTCACGTAGAACAGCGGGCGTGGGGGCGGCAGTCGGCGCGGTGGTTTGGGAGAGCTCATGTTCACGTTGGCAATGGAGTATAGAATAGAAGGACCATCTCTGTATAAGAATAAGTGTCCGTAAAAACGCGTCCAATAAGGGTGGCGCTGCGGTAGCATAGGATAAATTTAAAAGAAGCGCCAAAAGTAATTAGAATAAGATGGAGAAATAAACATGAACGGACCAATCCGCTTGGTTTTGTACTACGTAAATAGTTGAGGTTTTGTGTACTGGCATTTTACTAACTACTCATGAATTTTTTTAAATATTTGAATTCAGCTGACTTCACTCGGTCTACGACAGCTATATTCATATAGTAGATTTTCAGACGCCAGCGCTGTGTGGTAGGTTTTGGAACCTCTATTTTCAGTATACAGTTGGACACTTTTTCAACTTTACCCCCATATGAGATGGTTCTCCTTCTACTCTAAGGCCGGCCACATACATACGTAATTCCGTTTCGGAATTCCGAACGGGTCGGCCATACACATACGGAATCCCGTTTTGCCCGCAAAATTTTGAACGGAAAACTACCGTACGCGTGTGACGGATCATATATTTTATATGAACTTGCTGCGTTCGGAATCTAGAAACGGAATATCGAAACGGAATTCCGTATATATGTGGCGGGCCTAATACTCCATGGCGTTGGCCGCCAGGCGTTTGCGCGAGTGTGACGTGTTGTCAGAGGTTATGAACATGGACGACGAACTTTTATTTTTAATCGAAAATTCGAACCCGCGCTCCCCAGCGCAGCAATTCATTGCTAAGCCACTCCGCCACGGAGCCGTGTGGATGGTTGTTTGCCTGTTTTTGTTTGTGATTGCCAGTGATCGGCGTCGGTGTTGGTTTTTATGCACCAATCAAAGGTTGTTCAAAAAACGTGTTTACGATGTATCCATTTTCTTACGTGGTAGAGTCATACTGTAGCTATATTAGTAATATAGTCGTAGCACGAATGGGTCGGCTCGACAGGGAAAGCACCACGTTCTCACAGAAAACCAGCTTCAAATAGCAGCTTAACGCTGCTGTGTTCCGTATGGTGAATGTAGAGAACCGGAGACCCTTTTTACTGGCAAAGAGGCATTTCATTTTAGTCCTCACGGGTGACAACGCATTTGCATCTTGAGTCTTTATTGAGGAGAGATGTGGATGTCTATGGGTCACTGGTGGTCAATAAACAGCACGGGGAAACTCACCCAAAAGCCGCAGCTGCCATCATAAAGAAGCATTACGTCGACGACTACTTGGACAGTTTCAGAACTCTCGAAGATGCCAAACACATCACGAAGAGTGTACGAGCCGTGCACATGAAAGCCAGCTTCGAGTTGAAACAGTGGAAATCGAACTCAGCGTCACTCCTAGAGACACTTGGAGAAGACAACCAGACAGAAGACATGGAACTCTACAAAACAGAAGAAAAGACGGAACGAGTTCTAGGTGTTGTCTGGAAGATCAACTCAGACGAACTCACCTTCAACCTCAACTAGGCAGGGACTCAACACTCCTAGAAGGGAAGCAGCCGACGAAAAGGGAAGCACTGAGAATAGTGATGTCACTCTTCGACCCGGTCGGATTCGCCTCGCTTATCACAATCAGGGCAAAACAACTCCTCCAGGAAGTCTGGCGTAGACGAACACCATGGGACGACAAGATCGACGAAGACCTGGCGGAGCAATGGAAAATGTGGATGGAGCATCTGAAAGGTCTCCACGAAGTAGCAATCCCGCGGCAATATCTTCACTACAGCGAAGCGGCCTCCCTAGAACTTCACGTCTTCAGCGATGCCAGCGAGCCAGCCTACTCTGCGGTTCTCTTTTGGAGAGCTATAACAGCAGTAGGTGAGATCCATCTATCCCTCATTATGGCGAAAGCAAAGGTAGCACCGTTAAAATTGACGTCCATCCCAAGATTGGAGCTACAGGCAGCAGTCATGGGCACCAGACTCGCAGAAACAGTAGTCGAAGAACATGAGAGGAAACCTGACCGCAAACTATTCGGACGGACAGCAAGACAGTACTAACCTGGATAAGGACAGGGTCACGTTCATATAAGCCCTACGTGGCTCATCGTCTAGCAGCAATAGAAGAAAGTTCCAAAGTCAACGACTGGCACTGGGTTTCGACAAAGCTGAACGTGGCGGACGACGCCACACGAGACGTACCAGCAACATTTAATAAAGACCATCGATGGTTCAAAGGACCTGACTTCTTATACCTAACAGAAGACTCCTGGCCGACCGGAAACCGAAACCGCAAGAGCAACAGCGGAAGAACCTTCCGACGAAGAAAGGACACATCACGTGAGCAACAAAGGAAGATTGAAGCTTGCAGAAGGTCTACCTGATCCAGCGAAGTTCTCCAACTGGGACCGACTCCGATACTCAACCGCACGTGTTCTACAGTTCATTCAACTCTGGAGAACCACCAAACAGAGAGTCAACTACAAAAGAACAAAGAGGCTGATCCCACTTGGAAAAAGAACAAAGCTACAGTAAAATATTAGGCGCACACGACGACAAAGAAGCGGTCGCCAGAAGACATAAAGCCGCTAATGGTCTTAGCCGAGCTGCTTAAAACAGCTGAAGAACTCCTGAAGCGATCCTCCTAAGAAGAATCCTTTGCGGAAGAAATAGACAGCCTATAAAGCGGGAAGCCGATCAACAAAGAGAGCCGCCTTCGCCAGCTCAGCGTCGAGTCAATAAACGGCACACTACGACTTAGAAGCCGTATTCGAGCGGTCTGCGACAAGTAGGAAGAATTCAAGAACCCGCTGATAATTGACGGTGATCATCATACAGTCAAGCTATGGGTGCAGGCTATACATCGGCAACTACATCACGCCGGTGTAGAGGCCAATGTCAACGAGTGCCGGCAGCAGTTTTGGGTACTGAGACTGCGCCCTATCGTACGCACAATACTACGAAGATGCCTATTCTGCAGAATGAAGACGCAAGTACCGCCGCATCCGAGAACCGGGGACCTGCCAACATGTCGCTTAGCTCACTACAAGCGCCCCTTCACCTACACCGGGGTGGACTATTTCGGACCTCTTTCGGTGACTGTCGGACGAACTCGACAAAAGAGATATGTGGCCATTTTTACATGTCTCACGACGCGAGCCATACATCTGGAAGCCGCCGGCTCACTTAGCGCTGACTACGCAGTAATGGCCATAAGGCGAATGATCGCGCGGTGAGGCTGCCCGACTGAAATATGGTCAGACAACGGCACCAACCTGAAGGCAGCCGATATGGAATTACG